CGGGCTACATATCTGCATACTCAAAAAAATTCTGGAAAATTTTATGAAAGTTAGTTAAAAAGTTAGAAAGAGTTAAAAATTTGCATGAAAATTTTAGAAATTATATTTTTATATTTTTTGTTGTAGAATGAACCATATTTTTTTATAATGCCGGAAAAATATTACAGTAAAAATGATTGCATATATTTTAAAAAAGCAGCTGTGCCAATACTTTTCACCGGCAATGTATGTACAATATGTATATGAATGTCACAATTTTTTATTTTTTTCCCAAAATTCATATCACCAATCGTAATAGAAAAAAACTATTAAAATATGCAGTGTAATGCGAAACTTTCTCCACCACTCATTCGTAAAATATTTGACTAAATCCCAAAAAATGTTTGCTCAAAATTACCTTTTATGAATCCTATTAAGGGCCCAAGTTTAAGCGTGATCGTATAAAAAAAAATTCCACTGATCACTTTACTTGGAATCGCTCATATGTATGACAAATGTAAGACATTAGATAGGAGCCTTGAGGATCGTATATACATACGTATATTACTGTTTTCAAAAAGATGTTTTATTTGAATCTTAAAAAATCTCATTGTCATATAATTTGCCCCTTGTAGGCGTGTTGAGTAACTAAAAAACGGTAATAAAGCTTGTTTGGCAATTAAAATTTATCTTAGATTAAATTACTTTGCGTGTGCAATAACTAAACAAACTTATCTTTAAAATCTTTTATAATGATCTTTATGACCCTTTTATTTACCCTGCTAAATTTGAAACAAAGGTGCCAAATGGAGTATTTGCTTTTCAACCGTAAATCAAGAGGTGGTTTAATATTCTCCAACATGGTAGCAGTAGAAAACTTGTTTATCATCATAGCACACATACATACGTACTTACTCTGACCCAATCTTTCAGGTTTATCATACTTTCTGCGTATGCTTGGTCCCGCGTTCGGTTATGCGCTCGCCTCTTTCTGTCTGCGCGTCTATATCGCACCAAATTTACATCCTGTCATCAATAATCAAGATCCACGCTGGTTGGGCGCCTGGTGGATGGGGTGGCTAGTGATTGGTGGTATGATATTCTGCTCTGGTGCCTTTCTTACAATGTTCCCTAAAGAACTACCACGTGCTGCGGCTAGACGCATGGTCGAAGATGAGCGTCGTAAACGTGCAACGTTAAAGGAGAGACAAGATAATCTTAACAAAGAACCAACGGAGAAGGATAGACTAACTGCTGAGATGGAGGAGAAGCCAAAGGAGGAAACCAAAGCTTCTTTCAAGGATATGTTAACTACTTTTAAACGGCTCACCACCAATAAGACGTTAATGTGCAATAATTTCTCCTCTGTATTCTATCTCTTCGGTTACACGCCTTACTGGATTTTCACACCTAAATACATTGAGATACAATATCGGCAGTCAGCAGCTACATCGAGGTAAGTTAGAGAGCATTCAAGTGCGAGCTAAATCTAGAAACAATAAGCGGTTTGCTGAAAAATTAATGAAAAAATGGATAGGACTTTCGCGACAGCAAATTTTACACGCACAAAACTAGTATATAAGCAAATCTAAAATGGTGGCACACTTATCGTAGACAACGCATTATCTTCAGTTTTGCATAAACAAAAAGATTCCATCTCAAAATTGTTTTTAAATTAAAACTTAAAAAAGTTATACTATAAAAGTAAAAATAATCCCTCGTGCTGGGTAAATTTTGTATGGGGGAAAATAAAAGGCATTTGATCGTACTGTAATAGTAATGTTTTGTTGTCTTAAGTTTAAGACAATAATTATTGGCCACGAAGGATTAATTTAAAACATATCTTTAGCCCGCGAAATTGATTCAAAGTTTGTGAATTTGAAAAACTAAATTTTGGCTTGTAAGATCTAGACGATATATCAAAAATTATTCAATTTAGTATCTCACGTTCATATATCATTTTTCAATAGGACTACAAGTTTTCGAGATATTAGGATTACAAGTTTTGGAGATATTTAATAATAATTAAATAAAATTTAGGTGGGCAGCACCCATCTCAAGTCCATTTATGTATACTTGAAAATTGGAGCGGAATGGTTTCATTAGCCAAGGAAGAAGCACATTTTTCGCGGTTTCTAAATTTACCGTTATACGAAAGTCGTAGATATTATTTAAAAATAATTAAATATTGGCATGTTTATAACAATTTTAGAATGAGTTTCGAGTGTGCCAATAAAAATTGTAAAAATGGAATTTTAATTTCTCAAATCGTAGACATCTTTTACTCAATGTAATTTTTTTGCATTTGGTGGCACACTAGCTTTACTACACTAGATTGGTTCGTTTTGGTAAGAATAATATGTTCACCGTTTAATTGTAAGAATTTGAAGCACCCTAAATTTTTAAAATTAAAAAATCATAATATTTCAAAAATTACAACTTTATTTAATTTGGTGGCACACTTTGGAACTTTACAGATATGTTGTATTTGATGCCAATGTTCACTGCCTCTAATATGAATATACTATTTTAAAACTTCCCAAAGTTATTAAAAAAAAAAACAATTATGATTTTTTCGAGTGACAATGAAAACTTAGTAATTTCGGTACTTTTTCGCCTAAATTAACGTTTTGAAGCTCAAATTGTGCAATACTTGATTTGTTTTATTGTACTTGCATCTGGAACTCCATTGATTAAAATATATGCAAGAAGAATGCTTTAGCGTATTTTTTTCTGTCCAGAGAAGGAGGTGACACTTAAAAAAACAACTCGGGAGATTTGCTTATATTCGCGAAAGTAGGGGCCAAAAATAGTAAAACTGAATTTTTTTAAAGGAATAAAATGATTAAATTTTTTGGTGCAAAAGGATGAATAGATATTGAAAATGTGCTTTTAAATTTTATAATTGAATATCCTTGAAAGTTTGCAATATTTATTTTTAAAGAAATTATATGCTAAGGATTAATATACACACAGCCACATCGTCGAATTGCGTCCTTGTAATTGTAATAGCTTAAAAAAAAAAATAAATATGTATCAAAAGTTCATTTTTTTCAATACCTAAGTATTTGTCCTCGTGAAATCAAAAACTTAATTTTTTTTAATTTTAAAGAATTTTTTACGGACCGACAAAAAAGTATGATCGAAACAAAATGTTGTTTCCGTAGGTTGGTTCCCAAGAACGCTCAAAAACCTGAACAAACCTGTCGAGAACGTTCTCGACGGGAATTGTATAAAAACAAAGCCCTGTGGAACGTTCCCAAAGAGAACTAATTGCGAAAAACTACTTTCGGAAAAATTTTTAAGAGCACAAAATGGGAACAAAAGTCTAAGCAACCTTCTCTCGAAGAACAATGTGGGAACTAAAGTCTCAGTTCTTCCTGGCATAGAATGAAACGGCAACCAATCTTCTTTGAAATATTCGCGAAGAAAGGAAGCGTGAACAAAACTTTTCTCATAGCCTTACATTCGTTTGAAAAGTTTTAATATTAAAATTAATCAAAAAACCGTAAAGATACGTATAAAAATTAAGTCAACGAAAGACTTAAAATACCATATTTTCTTCTACAGAGAATACAAATTATTTGATAAAAGGACGATTCACCCAATGATAAACGATCTGGCAGTTGAAATTATCCACCTTCCTTCTGGCTTAAAATTATGGTTCTCACTGAAATGATTTTTCATCCAAACCGTAGACGCCCCTCTTAGTGTTAAGTTATCAAAACTTCTTCTCGTTTTGTTCTATAGAAAAACTTTCTTCAGACATTTGTTCTTATTTCATCTTGCTTGAAAACGTTCTCGATACTTTCGTTCGCATTGGAATGATTCCCGAAAAGTTTCTTTCTCATTCTGTTCTTCTTGAGAACGTTCTTGAGAGTTTGGTTCGCATTTGGTTTTTTTTAAGAAGGTTTCCGAGAGTTTGATTCCCATTTTCCGCGTTCAATCTGCTCTCAATACTTTTGTTCCCATATGGTTCTTTTACGGGAACGGTCTTAACATTAAATTTTTTTCTCGTGTTGAACTAAACAAAAACCAGAGCGCGTTCTCGGTCCCTGGAATTTTTACTTTCATTTGGTATAAATATGGTTATTCTGTGTACATAGCACTGAGTTTTTTAGCAATGTTTTTATTTATTAATATTTTTGAAATTTCAAAGTCCTTTTAAAAAAATTCCTGACATCAGCGAGAAAACTAAAAGCACACTTTTGCTATATTTGATCCATAGTTTCCTGACTATATTTATGGTTTCGTGTGTCTCGATTTTTTGTTTTTTTTTTCAATATATTTTCCGCAGCCTGGTCACTGGTACCGTCGCCTTGGCCTTTTCTGCAGCCGGTGTGCTGCTCTCAGGTTTTGTAATATCGCGCTATAAGCCACGCGCACGTTACATGGCCGCTTGGAATGTAATCGTTGGATTCCTGACCGTGGCTGGCATCTTGGCTTATGCTTTTATCGGTTGTCCAGGCAATGAGCAGTCGGTGATTGTCAACATACACGACAGGTAATTAATATACATAGAACTGCATGCGAACGCAGACAATATACTCGCAAATATTGTGAATATTTTATGTTGCCACTGATATTTATCCAAACACTAGCGCCCTCAATAGTACTCCCACTTGTAATTCGAATTGTCACTGTGATTATGTGCGTTACTCACCGGTTTGCGGGGAAAACAATATGACTTATATATCGCCTTGCCATGCCGGTTGCAAGAAACAATATAAAACTGCCAATGGGCGAAAGGTAAGTGCGATTTCTTTATATTGATTCACAATTTTTTCTAAATGGTATACATAAGTAAATTTTTGTTTTATTAATTTGCAGATTTACTATGACTGTTCTTGTATACCTAACAACAGCTTTAATAAAAGTTCGAAACCATTATTTAAACGTCTCACTGTGATGGATCTGAAATCAGAGAACAACGATAATGATGACGGCAATATTACGACTACTATAATGCCAGAATTGCCAATCACAACGTTGGATAAAGCATTACCGGCATCACTTAGCACAGCTTATACAGATGTGAGTTAACAATATTAGTGTAGAAGTGTCGCTATCTTTGCTAGGGAGCGCTGACTCCAATGTTTGATTTACTTAGGGCCGTTTGTTCAATGTCTGGCTATCACTACCTCCCAGTTAAACATCTTTATCGACCTTTTCAAAATCTTGCATATAAAATGTGATCGATAAAGCAGTCACTGTACTTAACCGCAGCTTCGACCTCCGATTTGAACAACTGGCCCTTAGGCTGGTGAGCTATATGAAATCTTCGTCTTCACCTCGATAGCTTCTGCAGGAAAAACTTGTTGACATAATTACATACATATCTATATATGCCTGACAGTACTGATACAATACATAATACGACGATAGCGGTAAAACCCTAACTGCGGATTTCTTTAAGTTTCAGAAGGTCGGAGGTTTTTTTGTTCTTGACTTTACTCTTTCTTCTTTGTTTATTGGGTAAGAGAAAGCATAAAAATAATTAGTCTCCTGAAATCTTACGAATGTCATTTATGAACCTTAGTAGTTTGTCGAGGAAACAGAAAGTAGTTTGCCCAGCTCAAACAGTTCGGTGCCTTGGTACCACAGTGTTTTGATATCCTTTTTTAATGAAGTTAAGCCTCAATTTACATTCCTGGATAATTCGCGAAAAGGTGCTAACAGCACCTTGGCTGGCACTGTAGACCCCGATTTGATGTCTATGCCAGCTTTCGCCAATTATTCAGCCTGATACTTTAAGTATTCTGAAGTCTTCCGATGTAAGACCTGTTAGAAAACCTGATTTCGAAATAGCCTAGTTGGCGGGCATATATTGCTTATGACCACAGATATATTTGCAATTTCTGGAGCTAAAAAGTGCTAAATGATTTTGAAATAGCTAAAAAAGAGCAAGGAGCTAGCCTATTTTCGGAGCTGAATAGAAAAATAAAGACCTAATCTAGTTCCCAAAGCACCAAAATGGTAACACTGATGTCATCCGCACAGGGCCGCACGTCGAAGCTATGTCCACTAAGAAAGCAGAGTAGCTCGCCTGCTACGATGGACCATAGCAGAGGGGAGATCACTCCCCCCCCCTTTCGTTTCTAAGAATCTTACATTTTCCTGTCCTTGAGTGGATGTAATGGTGCTGTTTGTTATCCAGCGGCTTGTGGTTTCATCAACCCCTTCCAGCCGGACGCTATTGTCTATTAGAGAGTGTTATGGAAAGCGCCCTCCATGTCCAATAAACATCCCACCGCCACCACTTTATCCTTCAAAAGACTTCTCAATTTTCCTTGTTAGACTCTGAAAAGCGCGGATAGTATGTCTTACTGGAAGATAGGAATTTTATTATCTATGTAAAGGGCTTTCGGTAAGGAAACTATCCCTGATATGCTGGTCTACGATTCTCTCCATTGTTTTTAGTAGAAAGGACGTACGACTAATGGGTCGATATGACTTTGGTTGGTCTGCAGGTTATCCACCGAATTGCCAATTATCTTATTTTTCTGCCAAAACTGCATTGAACATATCCGTAGTTTGTTCCAAAATCCGGAACACAATACTGTCTTTAAATATCTTTCAAATAGTTGTATTGTGAATACTTATTCCTTAATATTTGTTGAATTTTTCTTTTCTCTTCCAGGCTCTTCACGGTGGTCAGGCGATAACCGGCGCATGCCCTGTCAATTGCTTTGCTCAATTTGTCACATTTCTCTCGGTGATGTGTTGCCTGAAATTTGTTGGCGCCACAGGACGTGCCTCAAATTTTCTCGTGTCCGTACGTTGCGTGCCTGAGAAGGATAAAACAGCAGCAATGGGTTTTGGTATGATGATGATGTCCATGCTAGCATTTATACCAAGTCCCATATTCTTCGGCTGGGTATTAGACCGTATTTGCCTTGTGTGGGGTAAAACGTGTACAAATAAGGGCAATTGTTGGCTTTATGATCCAGAATCACTGAGGTAAGAAAAAAATTAGAATTGGCCTTATACGCCAAATGAAAATCTACTATAATTAGGAATTACTTTCAGATACACACTCAATATAACCGCTTCAGTATTTGTTGCGATAGGAGCCTTATTCGATTGGGGTGTCTGGTATTATGTAAAAGATCTGAAAATCTTCGATGAGGAGGTGAAAGAGGTTGAAATGAAAATTGTACAGCATGAAGAAGAAGTTAATTCCATTAAGGATTTAGAAGCATAATTTTTATAAATCTTAAATATATTCAGTCGCAGTTTTTATTCGAAAACATTTTATAATGTGCGTGTGTCTTTGAGTTTGAGTGCCCGTTTGAAAGTGTGTAACTGTGCCAAATTTAGTCTAATAACGAAATTTATGTAAATATGAAAGCCAATGTTTACTGTATAACTGTATGTGTGTATATGTAGCTATTAGATTGATAAGAGTAAAATAGGTTCATAGTTATTTTTGTAAATAAAATCATTTCAAATTATGCTAATTTACCAAAGTTATAGTCAATATGTGTACACGCAGATAAAGGTGTGTTTATATGTACAGTCAAATGTTGTGCTTTGTTATAATTTTTGATAGGAAAAGTACTGTATACTAAATATTTTGATTATAGATGCTACAAACGAATTTTCAGTATGTACGCCATTGCTTAAGAAGAAAGTATTAATAGCTACGATTTATGTATGTATTCACACATAAGAATAAGAATAAGAATAAAGTTTAAATACGTACCTATCAATTTACATATCATTATTAACACAGAATGGTCTAACTCATTTTATTTTCACTAACAAATATGAAAGGATTAAAAAAAAAAACACATTTCAGGCTTTAAAAAAAAAATCCATTTTAAAAGAAATTCACAACTAAATAACTTTACTTTTTATTATGTTTGGAAATACTTTGTGAAGAAACAACAGTTTTAAATGTAATTTCTATTTTAAGGTAACGATATTTAGTACGCTATGTCTATATTAAGGTGTATCAAATAATAAAAAAGTTATTAAATTTTAACACAATTTATTTGAATCTTTTTACGCTTGCTTTTAATTAGTATGTTCGATAACCTGATAGTGGTTAATAATTTTTAAAAACTATCAGGATTTGGCGTTCACGCAGGAGAATTGAGAGAGCAAATTGACAGTTCATTTGGAAGGGAAGTAATAGAAAATTTTTTAGTAGTAGTAATTTGCCCGCAAGAAAAAACCGCTGATCAAGCTCTTCTGTCTGCAATCTGATGATTTTTAAGTTTAAATAACAAAATCTTTGGGTTGTACCTAATTTGTAGAAAAAATTTTACCTAAAAACTGTGGAATGTACCTAAACAATTAGTAGGTACATTTGTTCGCCCATGGAGCTGTATCTGCTTTGTACTCTTCTGCTCAGGGCTAGCATCGAGTCAAACCCTGGCCGAGAAACGTACACCTGCTGCGTTAGACAGAGACGACTATATCCGAGCTCCACCTCAGTCAAGTGCAATACTAGCAACGGCTGGAGTCACCTCCGAGTCTGCTCAGGTCTAAGCACAACAGACATAACCGCACCACCACCCTCACGCCGCCGCCAACAACTCCGGGTATCTCCAAACATCTGCAAATGTGTGTCAGACCAGGATATTCCGTAACGTCACATCAGTCAAGTGCAACACCTGCCTTGGCTGGTGTCACTTTAGGGCACCTGTGGACCTGAACAGGTCACGTCAACCTTTCTAAGACTGATTGGAAAGGCTTCGCGGAAGTTTTTGAAAGCACCTTCTCTGCCCTCCCCACACCAACCGACGTTCACGTAAGTGAGTGTATGTAAGTTCGGCAGGGTTGTCACTGCTGGTGAAGCTCGCTTCATCTCAGCCGGGCACCCGTCCGACCTTTCCTGCTGAAGCGGCTGTTCTAGCCGATGATGGGGACAACCTTCGTTAGGTCGATCTCAATACGGAGATTCAGCTGCTTGTGAACATACATAATCGGAAGAAGTGGGAAGAGCACCAGAAAAATTGCAACTTCACCTCTGGTGTGAGTAAGCATTGGTCAAGCGTGAGGTCACTATCCAACTCGTTTCCTATCCGGAGCGATGTGCGAGCCATTTTAGCCGACAATTCACGCTGGATCTTCCGTGGCCACATGGCCTAACCCGCAACAGTCCTTTGAGAGAATAGTCCTGGTAGCGTTGGATCTGTCAAAGGCGTTTGACAACGTCAGTCACTCCACGCTACTACAAAACATAGAGGGCTCAAACGGTGGTCGGAGAATTATCTGACTGTCTAAGTTTAATATTTCCAAGCTCCTCCAACCACCAGAGGGAGTCTCGATTGTCTCTTATGCTGACGATTGCTCGATAATAGCATCCGGGAATGGAATTGATGACTTGTGCTCGAAAGTAAACTGTTACCTCTCCGAGCTTTATCGCTTCTTCACTGCAATGCGCCTGACCTTATCCCCTACAAAATCCTCAGAAAACCCTTTTCAGCACGTGGGCGAAGGAGGTCAGCCTGCAACTGGGTATTCACGTCGATGACGAACCAATTCAGACAGTGAATAACCCAAAAATCTTCGACAATTTTCTCTCTTTCTCGGCGCACACAACCACAATTGTCAATAAAGTACAGAGCCGCAACAAGGTCCTAGAGTCGCTAGCCGGCAGCACCTGGGGCATTTACATGACGAGGTGCAGATGCTCCCCATTACGGAGCACAACACATTGCCTTGCAAGCAATACTCAATAGGGAGCCCCAGACGTGAGAACCCGAACAGACATTTACGTCAGGTACGTTAGAAGGCAAGAATGATAGAATACAAGATTGCGCCGATCAGAGAGGATTTTTGAGAATAACTTTTGTGTGACGTCACACTGGTGCAATTGCGAGAGAGAAATGCCAAAACGGGAGCAAGAATGGAAGAAGAAGAAAAAATGTTGCAAGGAAAACGTAAACAAGTTGCACAAGTGTGACGTCATGCAAACAACGATTCTGTCAAGTTCGTTAAGAGAGGAATAGCGGTCCGAGATCGGCGCAACCTTTGTATTCTCTCAATCGTGGTTAGAAGGCATCTATCCAAACTGACAGACGAAGTCCAGAGGATCATAAAGCAACCGGCATTCACAGGCAGTCAGTCTCAAGTTACGTAGACTCCAGACTTGTGAATGCCATTCTGGGCACACAACCACCTGACAAGGACGAGATAGAGCTTCGTTTGTTTCGGGAGACTCAAACAACAATAGCCCAACTTCGCTCTGGCTACTGCAGCAGGTTTAACTCGTACCTGTTCATACTCGATGCAGATGTGTCCATCTCTTCGCATGCCCACTAAATTTCACTCAACTATATGTATACATATGAATGTACTTAGTTCATATAATTTGTCATGAAAGCATATGCATTAAGACTAACAAGTAATGAAATAATTAAAAGTGGATTTGTTTAAAAAATAAGACCAAACTGTACTCCATTTTCAACTGCAAAACGGAATTTAAGATAATGCACCATTTACTAAATGCAAATAAAGGTATCGTAAAAGATGATAAGTGAAACGTATGTAGGTATTTGAGATATCAAATTTGCAGTTACTTACCGCAGCAGTGCATATTCAGACTACGCTTACTTGTCATTTGATTCTTTCAGTTCTTCTGAAAAATGCTAAAATGGTACAGCTTGAAGCGAAAATAATGAACTCAGAGGTTCACGGAAAGAGTGATGTTGAATCAAAATTGTTGGCAGAGGCCAATATTAAACCGTCGCCATTCGAAGAGAAGGCACCGAAGAGGTTAAAGAATGTGGAGGATAGTGGCAATAAAACAGAAATCAATGCAATTCTACGCGATATGGCCATAACCGGGGATGTGCGTTGTGGTTTTTGGATATTTAAAGGTTCATGTGTTCAAAGGTAAGCGCAAAATTAATTTTAAACTGGTGACTAGAGTGTGTGAGCGAACGTATGTATATTAGAGCGTACAACCTTACAAGCAAACAAACAAGGTTCGCCATACACCCCTGGGTGTAAAGTAGTTTTGCAAAAGAATTTAAAAAAAAAATTTTTACCGAACCTATGAGTAGCTTTTTACATTTTTCGGTGACTGGATTAATCAAATACGTCCCTAGTAAAAGTTTAATGATTTCTAGTCATCTTTAATTAATGGCATTAAGGTGGATCGTTGACCCGATAAGAGGGTAAGCACTGGAACGGGGTACTTGGAGGCACTGAACTATAAAACAATAAAAACATCGATGTATCATACTTTAAGATTCGAATGTAAATGTCGAAGATATGACGAAATACAAAAGGGCGACTCCTACGTTCGGCCAAAGAAAATTTTTTTTGTAACTATCTCGAGAGAAAGACAGCGATTTATCGTACTTTGAGAATCGAATCTTAATGCCGAAGATACATATAATGAAAAATTTAAAAACGCAAAAAAAAACGTTTTTTTTCAAAATCGTTTTGCAATAATACTATACACTAGGGATAGGGTTGTCCTTAAAATATCTATATCTAAGTTTTGTATGGGACACCCTTTTAGTTTTTCTAAGTACAAAAGAAGTCAAAACCGACTTCAATTTACATATACAAATTTAAGAGTATCGGATCTAAACCAAATTAGTATAGGACCACCTCTGAGGTTCTACCTTTCGTACAAAATCTGATAAATTTGGCATACTATTGAAACATATTAATAAACTAGCTGAGTTAAAGCTAGTCAATGACCTTAAAGCTAGTTTCATGACCACCCTGCTCAGGGTTGTACGCCAAACTTTTTTCTGCTACGATGTATCCTTTCAATTATTAAGGCTGGCCAATCAATCCACCTATGTGCTGCTCTATGGCTTAGTGGGCTGTGTATTTTCCATGACTTATGCCTACTTTAATGGCACACTGACCACGCTCGAAAAGCGCTTTAAGATACCATCGAAAAATACTGGCATAATAGCGATTGGCAATAATATTAGTCAAATGGTTGTTTCGGCGGTACTCAGCTATTATGCGGGTAAAGGACACCGACCGCGTTGGATTGCATTTGGTTAGTAAAGGCTAAAAAATGTGTTAATCAGAGGAAACCAAAGATTGTATATATTTCTTTTTTTTTACTTCCCCACACAGGCATAATGACAATAGTCGCCTTCTGCTGGCTCACCGCTGCGCCACATTTCCTCTATGGCCCCGGCATAGATGCGCTTGCGCTGACCACGGAATTTGGTGGCATTGCCGATGGGAACGCAACATTGGAAGTTTTGGAACAGCAGCGCGCAAAAGCATTGTGTCGCGATCGCAGCAATGAGACCGCTTGTGCGCTAGAGGAGGGCAATTTAGCACCACAAGCTGTGCTCTTCCTTGCCGAGGTCATCTCTGGTATAGGTGGTGCACTTTATTACACGCTCGGCATATCTTATATGGATGATAATACAAAGAAGTCCAAAACGCCAGCTTTATTAAGTGAGTAGGCAAAAAAAGACTTTGTTGTGTATTTTTCTTTTTGTTTTTTGTTATCTCATTTGTGCCAATTATGCAGCGAATGATAACTTGGCGGTAATTGTAGTATTTGTTATGAGCTTTGGATCATAAATGAAGATTACTTACATGTAGATTTATGGTTGTAATACTGTGAAAACAATGCCACGTCAATTGAGATCACCTCTGGCTTTGCCGTCTAATGAAAAATATTTACTTTTCTCTCGTTTTCCCCTCACCTTTTAGGTTTATCCTATTTCTTCCACATGCTGGGTCCCGCTATCGGTTACGCCTTGGCCTCATTCTGTCTGCGTCTCTATATCGCACCACAATTGCGTCCTGTCATCAATAACGATGATCCACGTTGGTTGGGCGCCTGGTGGATGGGTTGGCTGTTGCTGGGCTCTGTACTCTTCGTATGTGGCATACTCTTTGCTATGTTGCCAAAAGAATTGCCACGTGCGAAAGCGCGTCGGCTTGCAGAGGAGCGTAAGCGCGAAGAATCCAACGCGCTGAAAGCTGAAGCGTCGGTTGAGCTCGAGTCCGAGTTAGAGAAGGCATCATTTAGCGATATGTTGACCACTTTCAAGCGACTCCTCAAAAATAAAACGCTCATGTGTAATCATATCTCTTCAATATTCTATTATTTTGGTTACACGCCATACTGGATATTTACGCCCAAATACATTGAGATACAATATCGGCAATCGGCGGCAACTTCTAGGTGAGAGTAAGAGTGTTTCATATAACGCATCAAAAGAACACATTTGATACATTTTCTTCAGCATGGTCACCGGAACTGTTGCATTGGCCTTCTCCGCTATTGGCGTCTTACTATCTGGCTTTGTTTTATCCAAGTATAAGCCAAGCGCCCGTTATATGGCCGCGTGGAATGTACTTGTTGGACTGCTTACCGTTGCCGGTTGCATTGCATATGCATTTATCGGCTGTCCAGGAAATGAGCACTCAATGATT